TTCCTCTCCGCGTGCATGAGCAGCTGGATACGAACAGGTGGAATTCATCATGTTTAAGCAGCTCATTTACACACTTTTCCTGATAGAAGTGTTTGTTGAATCTGACGTGGCATGTTCGTACGAACCCTTCGTATGATAAAAAGTAAGACAAATTTAGGATAAGAATACGAACATGTTCTTGCATGAGGCCCAATGACCCTAAACACACAGCTGAAACACCTCAGTGGTTTACTGAGAACCAGTGAAATGTTGTGCAATGGTTCAATCAAAGCCCAGATTTCAATTCAAGTCCAATCTCTGGTAGGGTTGGAAGATTATTGAACACATAAGGAACTCTGAGATGGAGGAGTTTCATGAATAAAATGAACTAAAGTTCCAGAGGCTTAATGTAACAAACCTAAAKATTTAACTTGAAGAAAGATCAATTTATTTACATCTCTGGTTCTGTAGAAACTAGAGATTTCCACAAGGGGGTAATACATTTGCATCCCGCTGCATGTCAAGTAAAAGGGAACAAAGAAAACTTACTAGAAGCTCTTTAATTCTGTACAGTTTGGCAAAAGGAGATTCCTCGTCACAACTCAGAACTCTGCAAGGTGCATCCATGTGCGCCAACCCTTCAACTATCTGCAAGAAGCACAAACAAAAGGGAAAAGAGCAACATTTATAACATTTATGAGGAGCAGGAACTTTGAAAAGAAGCRCTGYRAGAAAAACACGTTACATTTTGCAGGGCGTTTGGAAAGCCGTCCAGYTCTCTTTTCCCTCCTGGGTTCATACCGATCGACCAATGCTGACAGCAGCCCAGAGGCAACAATGTCGCCACCAGCAGCAGCCAGGCAGCCAACCGTGTCACAGCCATTCTGAGGGAGAGKGGGGCGGAGCCTTGTGTTTTTTAAATGTTATTTTTCGTTTAAGCCTAAATTTCATCTTACCTCTCAGTGCTCAGTTGTGAAAACCACGTCTCCAACTCCGCTCCACTGTCCTTTGTGAACAACGCTCCACACTTTGGGTTTTTATTACAAGCCACTGCTGCTTTATTCCTCCACCTCTTCTCCACAGGGGAGGGCGCAGAGTGGGATTAAGCAACATGTGGCGACCCGCAAAGCCGTTTCAAATATTACGTTTTAATGTAAAAAGAGTGAGTGACACGGTGTTCCACAAACAGCAGGTGACAGTACGTCCGGTCATTTCCTGAAACGTTCAAACTGCTGAAGCACAAGACACGAAAATAATTTAAAAAAAAGTAAACAAAAAGGCATGTTTGTCTTTAGAGCTGTTTATTTATTTTTTAACAGTCATTTGAGGAAACATTTCCATAGCTGAGTGCAATAATCAAGGATAACATCCACTGAGATGTATTAAAATAAAAACCGTAGCTCCTCTGTTGTTTAAATCCCTCTTGAGTCAAAACACACAACATGATTGCCTTCATCATTCACTCTCACAGACTGTACCTACTAGTATTGCATCAGAGCAGACAAATAAACCAAGCATGCAAACATACACTGAGGTGAAGTCCTTCACAAAACCGCAGACCACACCAAGAAATACTCGCAAAGTTTTGGAAGAACTGGATTTGTTTAACACGAAAAAACATTTAAGAAACAAAAAATCAAAAACGCTTTTGGTGAAAAGATRCATCCCATGTTCTTGGTTATATTCAAAGCGTGTTTAAATTGGCATAAATGATTTAAACATCCCATGCAAACACACGGCACGAGCACAGAAAAACAAACTTCCTGTCAAAACCCAAGATACCGTCTAACAACTAGGATCAGACGAACGACTGAAACATTTCAACAAGTTCAAACTCGTGCAGCTGTGGATCACTCACTGAATTGGTAAAAGAGGTAGACTCACAGAGCACAAAACGAAGCAGCGTGATGAAGGAGGGTGGGAGGACGCTTACTGTTCTACATCGTCAGTTGCATATTCAAGCTGGGTTTCCAACTTGCCTGTGGCATAGTTTTGTGGTGGACCAACAGCACATGCAGCCTTTTAAACTGTGCTATGGTACATTATGGCTTTGGCTTTGCATTGCTCGTTAAATCCAGCAAAATCAAAAATTTAAAAAGGAAGGAACGTACTGAGAGAAATATGTTGCACCAACTGGTAAACTCCCCTCTTCTGTTTCTGCTGCAGCAGAGTTCAGTGAAGCTCAGCTTTACCGRTCACACGTCTGGTTCGAACTTTTAAAAAAACGCGTTGAATAAATAGAATGTATGCAAAATACAGAACAAGTAAAACCACTGAACTACATCCAGACACATCTACACAGAAGGAACAGGACTCAGTTTTGGTGATATATGCAGCTGGACATTTAAAAATCAAACACAGACAACCCTGGATAAATTCTAGTGCAAGATTATTAAAGCTAACGTGATTTCGGCGGAATGCCAGGCATGTGCGTACGATTACCTGCGTGGCAGACACGTAAAACCAGATTTATTTTTTTTAAGAAAAAAGGAGGAATGAACTTTATGATAAGCTGGTGTTGGGGGAGAAATAAATAAATAAAAAAAGCAAACTTGCAGACGTGCACAGGTGAGTTATCTGACACTCTGAGACATGTGCAGAGGAGTCAGCATCTCTTCAAAAATGGCTCCTTTCACGTTGGACCCTCGCAGGTTAGCCTCTTGGAGGTCACAGCCGGACAGATCGCAGTTCTGAGAAGAAGAGATGATGAGGTTACCACAGGTCATTAAATGAAGAAAAACAAAATCAAGGTGCAATTTAAGCGGAGGATGTTGTGGTCATAGAAGGGCAGGACAGAAAATGGTTTTGATTTTTATTTCTTCTACAGGACCTGAAAGATATCATTACTATGTAATTAAAGTGCCTGTGACATGCATATCCATGAAATACAAAAAGTCAAAGAAAATATGTTCATATTTAAGAAACTTGGCATAATGCACATGATTTTACCTGTTATGTCACATAATTGGCATATTTTTTTTTAATTGGCTCAGCTAAAGTGAAACAGGAAGTRACATCAAAGGGGAACTCTTTAAAATACAGAACTTCCAGAATATATTCGTGAAGTCATCACGATTACCAAAACAGTAGTAAATAATGTTATTGGGGTTGATCAAAAAGTCTTGACGGGTTGTTTGTGAGGCTGAGATGAACAGCAACAACAAGCACATCACTTTCTTTATCAGTTATTTTTTCATAATAGAAAAAGATCAAACTTTATTAGAATTTTAATAAACCTCATTTCTTTATTTTTGTAAAAAGGTCTATGAATGATGTAAGAAACTGCCTTAATTAAAATCACACAGCTGGGCTGTAAATAAATCTWATCTGTGAAGCAGTGTTTTGCAGATAAAAGCTCTCATGAGTTTGCTCTGTAATAATGATCAGAACAGCATTAAACTCATCTGTAATTTTCTCTGTGTGCGGATGCTAGTCCTAATGTTAAAAACRTTTCATCGTCGTGTTTTAACCTCCAACAGATGTGATGTATTTACTATATTTTCCGTCTGCTTTACTAAACTATCAAGAGTTTAACCTATAAGATCTACTAAAAGGCAGCTGTGGATGAATTCTGTTTTGACTTGGCTTCTTCCTGTCCTGTGTACGCCCAGCGCCTGAGTCAGCCTCGGCGGCTGCTTTTAACGCTAATCCYGTTTGATGAGTCTGCGTTCACCTCCAGATCCGTCCCTGCCAAAGTGGCCCCCCGCAGGTTGCAGTTCTTCAGCTTGGCGTTTTTCAGAGTGGCCACACGCAGGTTGATGCCGGTCATTTGGCTTCCCTCCATGTCGACTCCTTTCAGGTTCGCGCCTGACAACAGAAACGTGGGGGTTCAAACCAGTGGAGAGAGGCAGGAGCGTGTGTTCTGACAGGAAGCTGAGGTGGACGTACCTTCTAGATTGGCCTTCAGCCCCGACGGGTCTTCGAAGTTGCATCCTTTGAGAGAGGCTCCTTCAGCRTTGCAGCAGAGCATCTTAACACCTTGTAAATTAGCACCCTTCAAAACGACATTGAAAGACCCACAGTGCTCATTATGTTGTTTATTATTAGGTAAATCACTCAGAACCACACAAAACATCAATGTTATTCAGCACTTGCRCCGAGTCTACTGATAACTTCAAGTTCTCTTACATCCAGGTTGGCTCCAGAAAGGTCAGCCCGCTCCAGATTGGAACAGCACAGATTAGCGTGGGACAAGTTGCAGCGGCTGAGATTCGCCATCTTGAAGTTGATATAGCGCAGATCGAGTCTGGACAGATCGGCACCGCTGAAATTAAGTCCCTGAAAACAGCAGGAGCGACAGCGTAGATGTTAACCACAGCCTCCTCAGGCAACAGAGGGGAGATAGAACCTTTTAGAGTTAGCTCCACCTGACAGCGCAGCTCGGATTTGGTGGAGGTTGCCAAAAGGAAACGAACAAACTCCTTGCGGGAAATGGGAGAGTGGTCCTCRGGGGGCTGCGAGTTCTGTTTTTGAAAGCAAGAAATTGTAAATAAATCCCAACAGAACCAAAGGAGGGSATCCCGTTATTCACCAGGACATTTAACCCTACCTTCAGAGCTACCTCCAGCTGTTCAGCCAGCTGCTCAACTCCAAAGAAGCGAGCCTCCTCCAGGACACCTGCAAGACATTTAGGACCAAAACATTACGAGCCCACTCGCTTGAAACTTCTTATTCTTTGTGACTGAGGTGTTTCACAAACACGCTGGACCTCTTGTGAACCTTACCTCGTATATTTATGCCTTCATTGACRATAAGCTGACCGTGTCTCAAATAGTTCAGAATGGGCTCGAAGTATTCGGGGCTGCGGTCGATGAGGTACGCCCCGTGCTCGTCCTGTTTGTTTCCCCACACGTCTGCAGCGAACACAGAGGTTAACAAGGACCCTTTAGAAACACAGTTCACTTCAGGAGAAAACAGGAAATGTGCAGCTGTGTCCAAACAGAAAAGAAGTCCTRCTTCACTGGTAATTTTCTATGTTGATACACAGGAATTGTTAAGTTCTTGAATRCTGATGATGATGACCTGAAGTGGTTCTGTATTTGTCACATTGCTTCAACAATGCAAAGGACACTTGGGGACATCAGCATCAGASTTCACATCAACAATAAGGCCAAGAAACAGTACCTAGTACTACATACCAGAGTGGTGAATATTTCAAGAAAAGCTACCAGTTGTTAAATGTCAGGAATGAATGAATGAATGAATGAATGAATGAATGAATGAATGAATGAATGAATGAATGAATGAATAAATAAATAAATAAATAAATNATAAATAACAGTCTGTTTGATTTGGCTGGCCGTTCTGGACAACAATCTGTGATTCATGTAGAGTGGTCCTAGTTGGCGCGTAACAACTGCACGGTTTATCTTTCGATTACTAGCAGGCCTTTYCTCAGTACCTTTCTCACGAAACATGTGAGCGAGCATGCTCTCTGGCTCCTTGCTGACCAAAGTGCTCCTGAAGAGAGGAAACACAAACAAACACACAGAAACAMAAGATCAGACAGAAGCAGATCAGAASTGAGTTTATTCTGTGATTTACTCAGAAAGGGGAACCTCTAGGGGATTTTGATTCCAAATATTTGATAACAATGAGGTTAATTAACTCTGAGTAGTTTAAACTAACCTCAGCATTCGAAATACAAAACCAACATCAATGAAACTCCAATACCTGGATTTATTGAGGCAAACACAGAAAAACAGCATCGGGGAGTTTCTGAATTGATCTTTTTCACAGTTAGTAATGTGCATACGTAAAATCACGCACCATGCCCCGAATAGGGCCATAGCTTCAAATCTAGTCTTTTGGTCCTTTACACCTGCTTTTTTTCTTGACTTTTATCTACAAACATACTCATAAATTAGCTTAATTGGTATATTATGATGGGATATATCTACACCACAATGCATCTTAAGACAGTGAACATTCCCATTAATAATAACTATAAAAAGGTTAATATTATATAATGTATTGTTAATATACATTACTGTCATTTTAGAGTGTTTTTACAGAGTCGAATGATTAAAAGGGTAATTTTCCTCCAATAACGCTTATTAGTTCAAATGTTAATTTGGTAGAAGTTGTAAAATGAGACTTCTAAGAACACAATTTGATTTTATAGTTAAGCTTTTTGATTCCAAAATCTACATAAAATAAACCAATGATGGTTGGTGATGACAGGTTTGAACCTAAATCCATCCGTCTAATTGATACTTTGATTTATGAGCTTGTAAATGGAAGAGTTTTAACATGTTGAATGATGTTTTAAAAATTTTATGTTTTTTAAACAGCATAACCTCTAAACTGATGAACATTTAATCTCCATCAAGATCATTCAGTTTTCACCGTCACATTTCTACAGGCGGCAACTCTTTTGGTCTTAATGAAAAACAGAGAAGGAAAGTCGATATTTAGACTAAAAATTAGGGAAGTGGGCCCAGACATTCAGGYGGGCAAATTTTCACAGGTAAAAATGTTCATAGTTGATAAAATAATAAATAAATAAAGGAAATTTTAAACTGCAGCTTTTGGAGGTCTGCGAGAAAAATGAGGGGAAAAAAAGACAACTAATGAATGTGAATTATTGNCTAATGAATGTGAATTATTGGTTGTTATTGTGTGGTGACTGTTTGTTCATTAAATATATTTCAGCAAATTATCTCTGAGATTGAAAGGACTTGATGAGAGAAAGCTTTGGTGTTACGGATATGTGCGGTCGAAGAACGTTATTGATGTAAATTAATGAGGGCACCTGATGAAAAAGGAACATCTTTCAAGAAAAGAAATGATCTGAAAGCAGATTYTATCTAGTAGGTGAAAAATCTCCTCTCTGACATCTGGTTCATCTTGCATCATCGGTCAGACTGATAAAAATAAGCTTATTTAAGATGGAGTTAAAACTTAAAGTTTCTTTCAGTAAACCTTACCTCACAGAGTCTCTTGTCATGATGACAGACACTTATCTGTTTCACTACACTCAGGGGTCAACACACTCTGAGTGTTCACTAAAATCTACTTTCTGAAATGCCCTCACTGTGACACACACGTTTTTTTATGTGTTTCTTTTTAAGCATCATTCAAACCTCAGATACCTGGTGGTGGTGAAGAGACGACCACCAATATTAAGAGTCAGCCAGTCTGTGTGGGCTCCATGCTGGTCAGATGCAACCTTGGCTTCGTTCTGTGGGTCTGACAACAACAAACACATCTTTATAGACACTTTGACTGACAGACGGGACTAATACAGCTCAAAAAAGCTCACCGATAAAAGGATCTCCTTCTGACACGTACAGCACATCGTCATCTCTGTTTAAAACACAAAAATAAACCAGTTAAAAACACAATTAGTCGATACACCAACTATCGTGTTAAAACTACTCAAATGATCTTACCGAATCAGGGCAATGTCATCTATGAGGCCACCCTTTCCATTGTATAAACAAGAGGCTTTGATTCCAAGCTTATTGCTCGCTACAGATAATAAATCTGACAAGGTGCCATACACTGCTACAACCTATACAAAAAAAGCAAAGCAATTAGTTTAAACATTTTTATTAGAAACAAAATACATAACAATGTAAAATACAATACAGTAAAACATTCGCCAGGGGGTTACAAGCTTAGGAACGATTTAAAATAACATATTACACAAAGACTTGAAAGAGAACACATAAGGCACAAGTTTTAATAGCTTTCATGTTTATAGAAGGTCTAATAGTTTTAATATATTGTTTGACTTCATTTAAGAAAATAGAAAGAAGAGGTTTTTGATTAGTGTAGCAGCATTTGTGAATATGCCATTTGGCTAAATATATAATAAGATGGATAATATAAAATTTTTTTTTTTTGGTAAGTGGATGGTCAGTGAAGCCAAACAATATATGTTCAAAGCAAAGAGAAAAATGTGGCTCAACAGAGGTAGAGATTAGAACACATATATCTTCCCACAATTGAGTAGARWRGGGGCAAGACCAAAACAAGTGATGATCATCCTCAGGGTGGCCTTCACAGAAAGAGCACATTACATTTATATCTTTTTTAAAATGTTGCAGAAATATTCTAGATGGGTGAATTCTATGAATATTTTTAAAGGATACTTCTCTTACTTTATTATTTATCATATATTTAGTTGGTAAAGTCCAAATTCTTTTCCAGTTAAGGTTATCAGTAAATGTGTTCCAATAAGATACTACATATGGAGTAGATACAACATCTCTCTGAAATAATGAGCGTATACGACGGTTGTTATTACGTGCAGAAGAAAAACAAATTTGACCAATTTCAAGTTTGGTTGGATCAAAAGGTAATAAATTCAGATTCTGTCTTGTATTTTTAAATAACATAATTACACCAGCAGGAATTGCAGCTATAACAATGTTAAACTCGTTAATGGTAATTTTGATATTGTATTTTGAGATAAATTCTTGATATGACATTAATGACCCATCTACATTAAAAAGCTGATGAACCAGGACTATGTTGTGAGTAAACCAATTAGGGTAAAATAAGGATTTGTTTTAATATAATATGTCTTTATTGTTCCAAATGTAATATCGATGTGGGGAGAAATTATGTTTATAAATTAATGACCAAGAGAGAAGCATCTGTTTATGACAGTTAGATAGTTTAGGGGGGACTTTTTCAACATTATAAAATAAAAGGAATTTTAGGCCTCCTAATTTAGAGAAAATAAAGTTTGGTATGAAATTCCAGATTGAAAATGGATTTTTGAGGAATTATTTTAACCAATTTATCTTGAAAGTATTATTTAAGGTGTAAAAGTCCAAAAAGTTAAAGCCGTCTTTATCGTATGAGTTCATGATTGCTGATTTTTTTAAATATAATGTTGTTTGTTCTTCCAAATATAGTTAAATAACATCTTATCGATGTCTTTAGAGACATTTTTGTTAACATCAAGAGACAAGGCTGCATATGAAAGATGGGATATTCCCTCAGCTTTAGTTAGTAAAACTCTACCTCTCAAAGATACGTCTCTTTGTAGCCACACTGGTTCATTTTAATTTTTATTTATTTATTTTTTATTTTTATTTTTTATTTTTTTTGCTTTATTGCTCCAATGAATTAACATTAGGATTATTTTCTCTCCATATATCAGTTAAATTAAATTTATGCATAGACTGTATTAAATAAAAAGCCTTAAAATAATTAGTTCGCGGAGGCCAAGTTTAAACATCAAAACAGCATTTAGAGATAAACTGTACCTAGCTGAGATGTCCTCACACAGTTCTCATCCACTTATTTATTACAAAAAAAGAAGTGCTACATTTTTTGTGTGGGGAAAAAAAAAACCAGTATGCGGCCCCAAGCTGCTCCCAACATCCACGCTTTGTACCCACCTTCCCATTTTTAGAGGTCCCGTTAACAAATAGGGTGACTCTTCTCATCCTTTGTGCGCTTTGGTCCAAACTAAACCTATATAATGTGTTAATAAAGACGTTATTTACAACCAGCTACTTGCTCTTCGAAACAAACAGCTAGCTTATGAGACAACACACGAGACGAAAAGATGCCTTCAAAAGCATCCGGAAAAAACATTGCAAACSCAGCAAAGGGGCAAATTTCTAAATTAAATCCGATGTAGAATTGTGCTAAAGGGCGAATAAGTTTTATTTTTTCATCAGCTATTAAATAAATACTAAACACGAGTAAGGAAATTGGTATAAAATGCTAACTTAGGTTGATAWACATTACATTTCAGACAGCCATTGAAAGCGTTTTTACTTTACGGTTTATGATTGGCCAAGGAGTTCTACGTAGGCACGTTTTATGCGTCTGACGGTCCTTCCMGGCTGCTGCTAACTTTTACCAATCTGTCAATCCGTACAGAACCAGAACACTATCAACAGTTTATGCCTTTTTTTAGTATAGTTATTCGTTTAATTTAAGGGGTTAAATAACTTCGCCTCTTTAAGCTCAATGTTTGGGCTTCCTGCATCCCTTTGGTTGCGGCAGATCCGTAGAATGCAACTACAAGGCACCACAGTAGTTGTTTACCACACAMGTTTGTGAGCTATTGTGCTGCAATGTCTGACAAACACCATTGTTCGTGTTGCTCCCATCCTGTCTCCTCCCCCAGTGTTCACCAGACCCTGAATGAAATGGATTTTGAAAGAGGTTTGCATCCATMTTTCTTATGTTTAGGACTAAAATACAGCAGGAAATGCTGTTACATGTTAACTGGTTGTTTATGCTCATAACTCCACCTGTGTGTCATCCCTGTCTGCAGGTATCTGGTCTGCTGCCATGGATGGAGACTTGGAGAGACTAAAGCTCCTTGTTCAGAAGGGGTCAGACCCAAATCAAAGAGACTCAGCTGGGTATACAGCTCTGGTGAGTTGATTCTGGCTGCATGGACTCTGCTCATGTGTTCATATTTGCCATTCCTTGTTTATTTTTGTGTCGTGTCGCAGCACTATGGGAGCCGCAGTGGTCATCTTGACGTATGTGCGTTTCTTCTTGAGAATGGTGCGTGTGCGTCRCCTCAGACACCAGGTGGGGCCACGCCGCTCCACCGAGCTGCTTACTGCGGTCACCTGGATGTCGTCAGTCTCCTCCTGCGATACAGAGCAGATCCATCGCTCTGTGATGATGACGGCGCGTCCCCTTTACATAAAGTACAAATATGTCTTCAGCAACTTCAAAAATGTGTTCCACAGAATCTATATTAGAATGTACCCATTGCCTGTTAGTATAATGTTGTTTATCATTTGAGCAGGCTGCAGAGCGGGGGCATGAAGAGGTGTGCCAGCTGCTTCTGGAGCACTGTCCATCACTCAGCAGCCAGGTCAACAACAAGCTCCAGCTACCGTACCAACTGACACAGCAGGGAGCCCTGCAGGAGCTCTTAAAGCCGCCCCCATGAWGCTTTAGACTTCTAAGATTACACAAATGGTGTAAGTTTAAAACTGAACAAGACAGACCTGCATTAAAAAAATAAAAACAGTTCTGGTTTTGTTATGAACATCACTGCTTAGACTCAGGAACACAAATCATTGTCTGTACGCTCCGTTCACTGTGCCACTCACAGTTGCAGGTCAAAGCTCTATCATGCAATGAATACATATTTCAACACCATCCAGAAAAGCTTTTGTCTCCTCTGGGCCAAAACTCACTAAAACTGTTTTGCGCACAGATGAGTGTAAAGGAGAGACCTGTTATAAATTAATTCAAAAGCCTGCATCTTTGATGGTATGGGCATGCATTATTGCCTATGGCAGGGGTGGGCAATCATGGTCCTCGAGGGCCGCAGCCCTACATGTTTTACATGTTTCCCTGCTCCAACACATCTGATTCAGTCACTGAACTGCCTCTTCCAAGTTCTGCAGTATGGAGGACCGAAAATGACTAATTAGAAATAAAAGCAGAAATAGATAAATAAACTTTTAAATAAATAAATACATTTAAAATGCACCAAATAAATTAAAAAGGAGAACTTTACCTCATATTTTATAATTTGATTGATCTTCATATTTGTTTTTCCAGCTTAGTTCCAATAAGTTATATATTTTAATACATAATTTAAATTTTAATGTTTTTAACATATATTTTACGTAGTTTTTCCTTTTACTTGTACATGCATTTATGTCTCTTGAACGCTTAAATTGAATAATTTTTATAATTTTGTCCAACAAATCTTTTTATTTCTATGTGTTGCATGCTTGTGCTGCCACAGTTTAGCTTAAAGTTTAGTTAAAAATAAATGCACAGACCTACTGTTTTCCTCGTTGCCTTTGTTTTAAACTAAACTTTAAACTTTTAGCTAAACTGAGGCAGCACAAGCATGCAATACAGAAGTAAAAAATCTTGTTGGGA